AACAATAAAAAAATAAATAAATAAAGGACTTATAATGCAATAAGTGATAGACCTTATTCATATAAATAATATATCTAATAATTAAAAATACCTATTTCTTAATTCATTTTTTGGTTTGATCCTTAGCAAGAAGTAGAACCAAAATTATATAAATAATTTCTGCTCGGGTTCTTATAGAACGAATTCTTTTTTGGTTTGATTTGCGGTTTGGTTCAGTTCTCCCGTGAACCACGCACAACCTAAGACCTAACATAAGTCAATTGGTTTTGCTGTCACTCATTTATAAGTCAAGTGTGGATGGATGATTTAGTTTTTCGTTCGATTCATTTTTCTTGAAAGGACCTTCCAAATACGTTACATATTTTCTGAAAACACAGCGAAACCTTAAATTGAGAGAGTATATATATTATATAACTAAAATTTTAATGGGGCATTTTAAAATTTTCATTGGAGAGAATATTTAAAACATGTAACATATAATAAATTTTCAGAAATTTTTTGATAGAATCACATGACAACTAAGGATGACAGAAGATCAGATAGCCGCTTAAAAACGCACTATCCAAAACAGTTTAAAAATTCGCTTTTGTTAGTCAAATCTGTCCTAAATCCAGTTACAAGTATTCATTTAAATACTCGAAACCGTTTAAATATCCGTTTAACATTAAAAATATTTTTTATTTTTAATCATAAAATTATCAAATTATATTGTAACTTAATAAAAAAATATAATATCATTACTAAATATAATTATACTTAATAAAAAATATAATATCAAATTACTAAAATATAATTATAGCATTAATTATAATTAAAAAAAGTGCATATATATTATATATATATATATATATATATATATAATTTTATTTTGAGAAAAATAATTATTTTAAATATGGTTTAGAATATTAATTAAATAAGTAATGGGTAGCAGCCCAGCACTTCTATATTTTTAGCGGCCAGATTTATGTAAAGCTTATTTATTAGTAGCCAAGAGGTACAACAGCAAATATACACCAACTTTAGAAGAATATATTAATAAAGGATGGATTTCAATATCAGCTCCTGTGCTCTTAGCCCATGGCTACTTTGTTTTAAAAACTTCCATAACAACTGATGCATTGAAAGCCTTGAACAAATATCCCAACATAATTCGATGTTCGGCCATGATTTTGAGACTTGTAGATGATCTTGGAACATCCTTGGTAAGTAAGCTAGCAAGCTAGTTTATGCAAATCCTCTTCTTTTATCATTTTGATTCCTTTTTTTCTCGATTCTTATTATCTTCATTGTTTTCTCACCATTTAATAGGATGAATTAAAAAGAGTCGATATTTCGAAAACAATTCAATATCACATGCATGAAACTGGAGTTTCAGAAGTAAGAGCTCATGAGTACATTCGATATTTAGTTAGTGAATTAGTGAAGTACGGAAGAAGATGAATAAAGGAGTTGTTAATTCTCTATTTTCAAGAGCATTTATAAGCACAGCGAAAAACCTTACTAGGATGGCACATGTACCAACATAGAGATGGGTATGGAATTCAAGAACGGGAAACTGAGGATCGTGTTTTATCATTATGCGCGAAACAATATTAAAAGATGAAATAATCCTTTATAACATCTTTCAAAAATAGTAAAATTATATAATAAAATGATAAATTGTATCTCATTAAGATATGCTAAAAAGTTGTAATGCTAATATATGTCTTCTTAAGTATCCTGCCAAGCTTTTCATAAGATATGCAATAGCAAAAGTTATGCATATTATGACCTATATCAAAAAATGTATATACATTATTAATATATTATGTATTTAGTGTAGTGTGTTATAAGCGTGTGAATGTCCTACTTCTTTAAAAATGATCATATCTCGTACGTTTTCGTACCTCGTGTCCCGTGTCCGTGCAACCTAGCTCATGATTTGTAAGACTACTCCATATACCAAGCTAATTAACCAAGTTTTTTTTTATTACCAATAAAAGATGAAGTGTTTTTTTTTTAAAATTTGTTTTTGTCTCGTTGAAATAAGAAATTCAGTTTTTTTTTTGTTTTTGATTTATTGTAAATAATTATTTATTTATTTGAAATATTAATGTATTATTTATTTAGTGTAGTGAGTTATAAGCGTGTGGATGTCTTACTTTTTAAAAAATTATCGTATCCGTAAATTTCTGTATCTCGTCTCCCTTGTCTGTGCAACATAGCTTCTGGTATATTAGACTACTCAATACATCAAGCTAATAAACCAAGATTTGTTTTATTACCAATAAAAAATGAATTGTTTTTTTTTTAATTTGTTTTTATGTAATTGAAATAAGAAATTTAGTTTTTTTTAATTTATTTTATGCTTATAACTTATTACTCCCTCCGACTCCGTTCTATTTATATAGTGAAACTCAAAATTTCTCTAGGATTAAGGAGGTGGTCTTTTATAGATTTCTTCTTAATTTAGCCCTGAAAAGATATTAAAGTGGTCCCCAATTCTCAATAAAAGGTGATAAATGATGAGAGAGAGAATCTGTTACTTAAGTAAGACATTTTATTTGTTTAGACTTCTAATAACAAAAAAAAAAAAAAAAGAACAAAAAAAAAAAAAAAAAAGTGAGTTGTTTAATTGCAATTGTTCAGTAACAATTTTTAGTGTATTATTTTTTAAAGCGTGTTGGAATGTCCTACCTTTTTCAAAATTAATCGTATCCCGTATTGTTCTTGGTATCTCGTATGCTCTTTTCTGTGCAACGTAACTCCTGGTTATTGAGACTAACTCTATACACCAAGCTAATAATAAAAATTTTTATTACCAATAAAAAATGAAGTTTTTTTTTTTTAATTTGGTTTTCTGTGTATTGGGAAATAAGAAAATTAATTTTTTTTTTTTATTTGAGTTTATTAATTTAATTATAAATGCTTATTTTAAATTTAATTTAATGTATCCTAAGCGTGTGGATGGTCCTAACTTTTTCCTAAGCGTGTGGATGTCCTACTTTTTAAAAGTTGTCGCATCCGTACGTTCCCATGTCTCGTGTCCTGTGTTCGTACAACCTAACTCCTGGTATATAAGACTACTTCATATACCAAACTAATCAACTAAAAAATTTTTTTTATACCAATAAAAATGAAGTGTTTTTTAAAAATTTATTTTTATATGATTGAAATAAGAAATTAAGTATATATTACTGTTGGTCTAATTGAGAGAGAGAAAACGTTAAAATATAATTGAGTGGGAAATGTTAAAATATAAAAAATAATAAAAAAAAAACTGTAAGTATATATTATTGTTGGTCACTACTTTAGAAAAGGTAAAGATCTAGTTTGATTGATTTTGTAGAAAACATTTGTGATAATTAATTATTGATCAAAATTTAATTGTTGGTTCCTACTCTTTCTATTTTTGGTTTTTTAATTTTTAATAATTAATCAAACTTGTTGGTATGTATTGTTCCTCTTTTCACGTGATAATTTGAAAGACTTGGCATTTATAAATTATATAGATTTGTTCAACCTATTTCTTGCACACCAAATTTTCGACACTTTTCCATGATTTCTTATGTATCTCTGTAGTAGATTTTTGTACTCTAGTGGGTCAAAATTGATTGGCTGGTTCATGATTTTCAACAAATGAATCAAGAAGGATAAAGAATAAAATAAGAAAGTACGAAAGAGAGTGAGTGGTTGAGAAAATAAACAACACGAGGAAAGTAACAAAGGCAACGTACAAGGCAACTAGGGCAGTCCTCTTTCCGGCTCAATAAATTAGTGAAATACTTAGTGTTCAATAGTATTTGAACTCAAAATTTTCACTTCTCGTATAAGTGAGAAGATCAACTAGACCATATCTGATTGGTTGAGTTGTTAAACTTTCAAACATAGTAATAATTGTGATTTTATTTCTTAATTTGGTAAATATTTTAATTAATCACTTAAATTTAATTTCATTAAACGTTTTAGTCATTTTTTACACAAAAATGTCCATTTGAAGAGTTAAAACACTTTATAACATTTGAATATTTTCAATATAATGGTATTATTTAGTCCCTGAATTTTACTATTGAATTATTGTTTAGTATCTTAGTGGGGAAATGACATTTTTGGATGAAAGATTAAATAATTTAATCCCCACTATATGCGTCGATGGGTCCACATGCATGCCCTCCCTCTCAATAACAATCAAACGTATAACACATTCACAATTTGTGATAACTGTTCATTAAAAAATTTTAAATCTTGATAAAATTTTTGATAAAAATCTTGATAAAAGTCTTGATACCAAATTCATATAAAATATAACAACACTTTTTTTTAATGAACAAGAACATATTTTTATCAAAATACCCGATTTTTATAAAAAAATCCGATTTTTTTCCCGATTATCAACGTTTCTACCCAGTTTTTTCAAAAAATTCAGTTTTTTTTTTCCAAAAACCGAGCCAATTTTATAATCAAAATTGGATATCCAACCGATTCTCGATTTAATCGGTCCGATCGGTTGGTCTAGTGGGGTTCCAACAACATTGCGAATAATTGATGAATAATAACAATTGAAATAACAATAGCAAACACATGCTATAAATACAAATTTTACTTGTTTGACCTTGGGCCTAGTCATCAATAATCATCAACAATGTACAGTAATTTATTTTTCTGATTAAAAAAATTATTTAATAGTAATTCATGAAACCCAATTAACATGTTTTATAATTCTACCATGTTATCTATGATAAATAGACGAAGTAATATATACGTCGGTCCATATTAGTTTATATGTAGATTCCAAAGTACAAACATCCACCTTTATGCATTGGCATTAGATTGTTGAACAACAATACCAAACAAGTGCTATAACATAGCAATTTTTTTTTAATTTGTTTCAGCAGTGACACCTCCATAAGGACTTGTGTATATAAGGACATGTATCCATTCATCAATAAGTAACTAAGCAAACAACCTCTTATCTTAAGGACATGTATCCATTCATCAATAAGTAACTAAGCAAACAACCTCTTATCTATTATTTGTCAATGGCTTGTCATTCATCTGTCTCAATTTTTCCTATATTCACTTTCACAAAAGAGCCATCTAGAGCTCCCTTCCTCCTCGGATTAAGAAAAAATGGCAGTTTTAGTGGCAAAGTAAGATGTATAGCCAGTCAACGCATTGCTAATGAAAATATTGTGAGACGATCTGCAAATTACCATCGTCCCATTTGGGATTATGATTTTGTCCAATCACTCACCAGTGAATTTAAGGTATCGAGAGAGAACCACTATTCGTTTTTTTTTTTTTTTTTTTTTACTGGTGCTGGTTTCCATTCGCCTTTTTCTCAGTTTGAATCATTTCAGTTTAAAATACTTCGAGCTAATTAACAAGGTGTCGATTGGGATGAAAAACAACCTTAATCACCATAAGGATGAAGTTCAATCCGATTCCAGAAGCTAACTTTGCCAGGAGAGCAAAAAATCTTTACAATCAGAGAGGATTATACCTCCTGTTTAATGGTTATACCAAAAAAAGAAAAGAAAAGAAAAGAAATACTTCCAGCTCCATTTTCCTGTTTGATTTGATTTAAAACCAAAACTTAGCCTGGTCTATTCATTAATCAGCTTTGGAAATATGAGAACTATATTCTTATTTGATGCAAGATGTGGTTAAAATGATTTGTTTTTGTGATGCAGGGAGAGATGTGTACGAAACGGATTAACAAGCTGAAGGAAGAAGTGAGGGTTATGCTTAACCAACCCATCAATACTTTGGACAAGCTTGAATTAATCGATACTTTGCAGAGACTTGGATTAGCTTATCACTTTGAAGATGAAATAAAGAGACAGTTGATGGGCATTTACAATCGTAGATGCGCTGACGTTTCAGGGACGGAGGGTTTACATGCTATAGCTCTTGAGTTTAGACTTCTAAGGCAACATGGGTACACCATATCTAAAGGTAAAAGAGCCAAAAAAAAAAAAAAAAAAAAAAAAAAAAAAAAAAAAAAAAAAAAAAAAAAAGAAATAGATGGAATGAAACAAAGGTTTTCATTTAATTGTTTCCTTCTAAATTTAGGGAGGATATAATGCAGATTTCTTTTGTGTCTAAATGCAGATTTCTTCAGTAATTTCCTAGATGAAATGGGAAACTTCAAAATTCATCTTTGTGAGAGCTTAGAGGGAATGCTATCTTTGTACGAGGCATCATTCCTTTCAGAAGAAGACGATAATATCTTACATGTTGCAAGAGCTTTTACTACAAGTTACCTCAACAACTATATTAAGCAAAACAACAATAACAAATATATGTCCATGTTAATAACTCACGCACTGGAGCTTCCATTGCATTGGAGGCCGCCAAGGTTAGAGACTAGGTGGTTCATTGATGTGTACGAGAGAAAACTTGGCATGAATTCTCTTCTGCTGGAGCTTGCTAAATTGGATTTCAACTATGTCCAGGCAATACACCAAGAGGATCTAAAATCCACATCACGGTACATATGCTGGCTGCTCGTTTTATTTTCTGTATTAGTTTGGTCGGACTAAGGTCAATTTTAAAACCTGAAAACCGTGGAAATAACCTGAAAACCGTGGAAATAAAATTCAGTTTTAACCCGAGAGACTCCAACAATTCAACCTCACACGACATTTACTGTAGAATTTCTTTTTGATATTCAATTTCTTTTATCAATCTGCAAAATTTTGTTCAATTGTTCATAATTCTCTTTGCTTTTTGGGTAAAGACTAATTTTTCACATTTTTTTATCATGTACAGCTGGTGGAAGAATACAGGTTTCGGAGAAAAATTGAGCTTTGCAAGAGACAGAATAATGGAGAATTTCTTGTGGACTATTGGAATGACATTTGAACCAGAGTTTGGATATTGTAGGAGAATGTCTACAAAGGTCAATGCACTCCTAACAACAATTGATGATGTCTATGATGTGTATGGCACCCTGGATGAACTTGAATTGTTCACTGATGCTGTTGAAAGGTTAGTCGTGGTGTCGTAATATACACGTGACATAGGAAATAAAAGTTTAATTAGCATGCTCCAAGTAATAATTCATTTATTTAAATCCTTATGCTTTGCTTTCAGATGGGATGTCAATGCAATGAAGCAACTTCCAGACTATATGAAGATATGTTTCTTAGGTCTTCAAAACTCAATAAATGAAATAGCTTTCGATACCCTTAAGGAGCAAGGATTTGACATCATTCCTTACTTGAAGAAATCCGTATGTGTTAATATTGTTCTTAAATCATTCCTAATTATACATGTTTTCAATGTTCACTTATATAACAATTCTATCATTTTTATATTTTGCAGTGGGCAGATGTATGTAATGCTTACTTACTAGAAGCCAAGTGGTACAACAGCGGCTATACACCAACTTTACAAGAATATCTTGATAATGCATGGATTTCTATTGGAAATTCCGTGGTGTTAATACATGGTTATTTTGTCTCAAAAACTCCGATAACAAACGATGCTTTGAAAGCCTTAAATGAATATCACAATATAATTCGATGCTCGTGTCTGATTTTTAGACTTACAGATGATCTTGGAAATTCCGTGGTGTTAATACATGGTTATTTTGTCTCAAAAACTCCGATAACAAACGATGCTTTGAAAGCCTTAAATGAATATCACAATATAATTCGATGCTCGTGTCTGATTTTTAGACTTACAGATGATCTTGGAACATCCTCGGTATGTGAGCTAGCTAGCCAGTTTATTCAATCATCTTCTTCTTTTATCATTTCAATTCTTTTATTGATTCTTATCATCTTCATTTTATTTTCTCATTATTTATTAGGATGAATTAAAAAGAGGTGATGTTCCGAAATCAATTCAATGTTACATGCATGAAACTGGAGCTTCAGAAGCAAGAGCCCGTGAGCACATCCGATATTTAACTAGTGAAATGTGGAAAACTATGAATAAAGAATTACTTGTTGATTCTCCATTTTCAAAAACTTTTATTCACATTGCAATTAACCAAGCTAGGATGGCACATTGCATGTACCAACATGGAGATGGACATGGAATTGAAGATCGTGAAACTAAGGATCGTGTTTTATCATTACTTGTTCAACCTATTCCATAAACACCAAATTTTCCACACTTGCCGTGATTTCTTTTGTATCCTTGGAATTTTTATATGGGCTATAACATTAGTTATGGACTATTTTGATTTGTGAATCAAATTGAATAAATAGAATTTAAAGATGTTTGACAGAAAGTGTTTATGTGATACTTGTATGTAATAATTGTCTTAAATTCAAGAAAATTTATAATAATAAATGCTATGTTATCCTTAATGTTACATATTCAATAAATTACGAATTTTGTTGATATTTGATAAGGATTATGATTTATTCAAAATATCCAAACATTTAAAGTTTCTGTTATCTATATCTACATATGTATTTTAACTTACAATAAGATTTATCTAAAGTATCTTGTACCTCTATTCATTGTATAGTAGTTCTTAGTAATACATGTTGAAAAGACTTTTTCATATCTTGAGTTTATTCACGTTTACATCGTATCAGAGCTTCATATGCATTGAATCTTGTGACTCATGTTCAGTCCTTCCAAAGGATCGACGGATAAAGATAGCCTGTCAATCTGCATGATAGCAAGTGTCAGTGACTTGTTGAACCGGGCATTAGGTTGGATGCACTTGAGGGAGTATGTTGGAAGATGAATCCCACGTTAAATCAGTTTCACTTATAATGAAATATGTTAAAATTGCCTTATAATTCTAAAATTCACACTTTTAGTCTTTTGGTGGCTAGGAAATATGTTTTTCATGGCTTATACTAGTCTTTTGGTGGCTTTAATGTTAGTTCACACTACTAGTTTTTTTGTGGCTTCAATGTTGGTTCACACTACTAGTCTTTTGGTGGCTAAGAAAATTCAATGTTGGTTGACAATGTTGGTGACCTAACTTGGACTAAGATGGCACATCTTCAACACAATGGAAGAAGACTTGAAGTTTTGTTCACATGGTGATACATCCTCTAATAAGGCATAACCTGGGCTCGGTAACCACATTCATCACATCCTAACAAATGAAGAAGATTCAATTGTTCAAAGAGAGGAATCCGTCCAAGTAGCATTCTCTAAGAACTATCTATCGTTTCGATAAACCACCTTTTCATATGATAGAAGCACACCTCTTGCATATTCATGAGTTTAGTAGGTCGTCGTTTTAATTCTTGAGTGTTATTGTGTGGGTGTAAAGAATCATTGTATCTCCTAGTTTTTTCATAAGCATGTTATTCCTCTCTCTGTGTCCGGTGGTGTTTTTTCCTTCTACATTGGAGGGTGTTCCACGTAAATCTGTGTTCTTACCATTGATTATTTTATCTCTCATTAAAAAATTTTTTATCATTCAATCTAGCCGAAACAATATTATCATTACCCACGCTAAAGTTCCGCCACAATCAATGAAATGAGTGAAGATTGGGGGAGAACAATCCTCGATTTCATTACTGTGAAAATTTTGATCAACGCGATTCTCTCATTGAGTGGATTATAAATAGATCCATTACCACGCTAAATTCCGCAACAATTCTAATGAAATGAGTGAAGGATTTGGGGGAGAACAATTCTCGATTTCTTACTGAAAATTTGATCAAACCGATTTCTCTGAGTTGGATTTAAATAGTTGTTTTAGAAATTCAGTTGCCGACCAGTTTAGAAATATAAAACTGTTTGGTTTTTTTACTTTGATTCTGTTACCATATATAATTAACTGAATTTATTTTTAAGTCCCAAATATCTAATTTGATTTGGTATTACCAAATCCAAATTGAACAAAACAGATTCAATTTTGTTTTTATATCATTTAGTTCCAGATTTAGTTACCATAAAAATATATCTGATACATCAAAACAAAGCTAATTCGATTTGGTTAATCTGAGTGGTCGCCCTCACCGGTGGACCTATAAGCCATTAGTTTTGTGCAAATAGATTAGAGCACTCATTTATATATAACCTCATGTTTCTAAGGGCCCATAGACTTTAAAATGGCATCCAAGCCCAATCACGCCATCTAATAGGTAACCCGAAATAACCAACTTCTCCGCCATCTGATAAGTAACCGAAGTCCAAGACAAACAACATTGCCATCTAATAAACGTAACACAACCCTCAAAAAACCTAGAATTTCTTATAGTAAGCAATATCCCTTTTTATATAACTCGTAGAATTATTTCGGTTTATAAAAATTTTTAATAAATTAAAAAAATAATATATTATATAAATGCATGATTAAAAAAATTATGTAATAGTAAATAATGAAACCAAATTAATATAAATCAATCTCTTGTTTTATTTTTTTATCTATATTATCTATACTATGTATAAAAGTGGGAATGAGAGGGAATAATAAGATTTCCTATATTATCTTTGTAAAATTTAAGATATTCTAAAATAATTTTAGTCACAGCCAATTAAAAAATTTTAACATATATATATATATATAAAATTTGATTGACTGTTTTTTTTTAACTTTTTTTTAATAGGTAAATACATATAGATAATTAAGCATTTGAAATTTAAAATTTTACTATTAAAATTTTAATATAGGATTTTGAAAAATTTTTAATGTCAAATCCAAGAAGAAATTTTGCTAGGGTTCATTTAAGGAATAATTTTTATTAAGGAAATTATTCACAGTGAAAACGAGATCCTCACTAGAAGATGACTTTGTGAAAGTTGTGCATAAGATCAGAATTTGATTTATTTCCAAAATTGATAAGAATTTTTTTTTAGAAGAAAATTGATGGCAACTTGATTGTTAATTGATTGGTAAATAAAACCAATTATTTGCCTAATGTGAAAACAATGTCGTTTTTTTTTTTCACTTTCTGAACTAATATATTAAATTAATGTTGCCTAATGCATAAATTTGACCAATGTATTTTTGACAAGCATCCTTATGGCCTCTTAAATTTTGCGAGGGATTCATCATGACGATACAACATTTCAATAATAATTATATCTCTCGTCAAAATAAAATGCGAAAGTACAAAGTTATGAGAGATATAATTATTATTAAAATATAAAAATATACAGTTGTAATTAAATTTACACAAAATTCAAGGTGACACAAGCACGTACGGAGCCAGGGGTTGGGGGGCCACGGCCCGCCAGAGTTTCCAATAGTTAGCTTAGTGGTTTGGTTCCTATTTTTTTGAGTTTGAGGTCTTGGGATCAGCAGTGGCTATGAAGTTGTTTTGTTTTTGTTTTTTAATTTAGTTATTTACATATTTCTTTTAATTAGTTATTATGTAAAAGAAAAGTTTTAATTAATTTTTATATAGATTCAATTAATTTAAATATATATATAGATAAACACAGAAAGTTCCACAATTTTAGTAAATTATTTTTTGTTTCTATTGAACGAGTTAAATTATTTTATGTTTTATTTGAACGAGTTATTTTTAAAGCTTTATGTAGTTTTTAAAATTAGTTTTTTGAGAATTTGATTCCATATTTTTTAAAATTTTAGTTTTGAATTTGATTCCATTCTATGAATATATAAAATTCACATAAATACTAAAATATACAATAATGTTATAAATTTTTATTTCAATTGTTTATTATTTGCTATTTAATTAAAATTTAACAATTTGAAAAAGCTTTAGAATTCTAAATTCATTGAATAAACACATATGATATTTAATTTATTCAAAATGATGAATTTAATATTATAATTCATGATCCTATTTTAATAGTTTTTAGGAAAAAATATGAAATTGAATTGATTAAATTTTAAAATCACAGTAACATATTTAAAATTTTAAATATAATAATATTTATTTTCATTGTTTTTTTAAATGTGTAAATTTTAGGAAATTATTTCTTTCCTATTGAAAGTCATTATGTATATTAAAAAAATCTTTATTTATGCAATTTTCATTTAAAAATTTTTTTACCACATGTATATTTTTTCATGTAATTACATTAATTTTAAACATTTTTTAATCAAATTTATTTTTTATTCATCGTATGAAGACAAATCTTTATAATCCCTAGACCTTACCATACCCTCTGTCAGATCTCTACACGGCGGCCACCGACCCTCTCTTTTGTTATGCAAACCTTGTAGGTCTATAACTTTGTAAAACTGGCGCGCTTTGCTATGCTAGTTGCCATGACATGGACACAAGGGACCATCATCTAAAGGTCCCAAGTGCAAAATAGTTAATAGCACAAGTACTCACGCTTTTGTTTTATTAATATATGATTTTGAATTTTCTTTTTCTTCCATTTTAATCAATACTGTGCTTATCATAAATAGTGTATTAAAACTATTAATTTGGGATTTTTGCATGACCATGCGACTCTAATCTTTCAATTTGCTAGTAAAGATAGTTGCATGCATGTAAAATACTAAATTTTCTTTGCATTTTTTTGTCTAATTTATTTTTTTAGGTGTACAATGTTTTGATGGAGAAAATAAAAACGAGGAAGATGAGTCTTCCTTGATAAATTAAAAGATAGAACTCGGTATTCTCTTCAAATTTGAAGCTTCGATTCGAAAAGTGTACTGAAGTGCTACGTAAACGGGTCTTGTCGAATGGGTCATGGATGATCCCGAATCAATAATGACTCCTCCATTTCTAGTTTGATTCGCGATACAATCAAATCACTGAAAACAATAGATGATAGTTTGAGGAAGCAGACCGGTCTACCACACAGTAGAAAAACTTTTAATTGAACTGGGCACCGATTTATAAAGGGAATGATAATCTTCTCTGTCAAGCCCTAGCAAACCCACAGCATCGACGAATAATCCTTGATTATTGTGGCCACAACCGATCACCACGCCCTTCTAACTTTGGATTGTAAAGAGAGAGAGGAAGGAAGAATTTTTTATCTTATTTGATGTTGTTGTTTTGGGTTTTTCTCAATCTCGATCTTGTTTCTATGGATGTTGTGTTAGAGCTGAAAGAGCCATCTATGACGTTTTGTTTCCTTTTTATTTATTTTAGATTTTTAATTATTATTAATTATCCGCCTATAAATTGATAGAAAATTTACTAATGATCAAATGGTAAAATGGACATTTCCTTTGCCATTGACAGAAAATTTGAATAATTTTGAATGGAATAAGGTGATTATATGACAGAATGAAAATTTATAGAGGGTTGAGTCAGTATCTAAACATATGAGTCATGTCTCAATTCCACTATAATTTAGGGATATGTTTTTTTTCCCTACATTTAATTGTGTGCCACTTAAATTTTCTA